CAGAAGAGCTAAAAAGAAACTTCTCTGAAGAGGAAATGCAAATGGCTAACAGGCATATGAAAAAATGTTCAACATCACTTGTAATCAGGGAAATGCAAATCAAAACTACCATGAGATACCATCTTACACCAGTGAGAATGGCACATATTAAAAAAACTAGCAACAACAAATGTTGGCGAGGGTGTGGAGAAAAAGGAACTCTTCTGCACTGCTGGCGGGAGTGCAAACTGGTCCAACCACTATGGAGAGCTGTGTGGAGATTTCTGGACCTACTAAACATAGAGCTTCCATATGATCCAGCAATTCCACTCCTAGGTATTTACCCAAAGGACACAGAAACATCAATTCCAAAGAACACCTGCACCCCTATGTTTATAGCAGCACTATTTACAATAGCTAAGCTTTGGAAACAGCCCAAATGCCCAAAAATAGATGACTGGATCAAGAAGATGTGGTCCATATACACCATGGAATATTACTCAGCATTCAAAAAAGATAAACACATGCAATTTGCAGCAACTTGGATGGCGCTGGAAGGGATCATGCTCAGTGAAATAAGCCAGAAAGAAAAAGAAAAATACCAGATGGTCTCACTCATAGCAGGAATCTAGAAAACTTAAATAAGCGACCAGGAAAATGAGTAATTATAAGAAAGTGAAAATCAAAATCAACAAAAAACTATGAATCAGAGACACTTTTTGGGTGGTGGGGGGGCGGGAGGGGATGGATTGGGGTAAGAATGGGGGGGGTTGCAATTGTATGGGGAATATAAAAATAAAATTTATTATTTAAAAAAAGACTAATTATAATGAAGTAAAAATCAATATCAACAGCTAGACAAAACCGAAGCTACACAAATTTTAATCTACTAGGTTATTTGTGTACTATATTTTCAACATGATCTATCTTTACAACTGCAAAGAATCATGCTTTGAGAAGTCTTGTATGACTTATAACGAGTTTAGCTATTTCCATGTGTGACTATACAGAAAGATATTGAAATCAAGATGGAAGATTTTGGTGTTTTGTCCTTAGTCTAAGTCAGAATGTTGGCCAGAATGAGGGAGTCTTGGAAGAGCCCAGAACCTATGACATTGGCAATGAATGAAACTTAAAGGCAGATCATTGGATTTACTCTATAAGTACCATATTTGTACTTTCTAGAGGAAATATATTATGTTGTATGTGGAGTATCTAAGCACAAGAACAGTGTGCTCTACCCTCTGTTTATGGGACACCAGACATGGTTATATTGGCTGATGTTTGGGTTTTGATTAAATAAAGTAGATCAGAAACTAAAAAAAAAATAAATAAAATGAATGGATGTGGCTATAGAAAGCTGTACCGTGTGTGGTCATGTGCTATAGTAAGTCTGCTGTATCTTTTTATATATTGCTGGATTTCTTTCCTAGGTTCGAGTTTTTTGACATACAATGTGTAAGTTTAACATGTCCAATATTATGACCTGATATATGTATATATTGCGAAATGATCAATGCAATAATGTTAGTTAACATATCTGTCACTTCACAAAGGTTATGTCCATGTCTTTTCTGCTGTGACAAATGTGGCAGTGAACATGGGAGTGTAGTCTCTCTGAGATAACTTTTTTCCTTTGGATATATACATATATATGTAGAAGTGGGATTTCTGTAATATATAATAGTTCTATTTTTAATTTTTGAGGAATCACCATACTGTTTTCCATAGTGGTTGTACCAATTTACATTCCCATTAACAGTGCAATAGGGTTCCGTATTCTCCACATTTTCATCAGCACTTACTATTATCACTTGTCTTTTTGATAACAGAAATTCTTTAAAAATAGTTTTAAGTTCACAATTTTAAGTACCACTGAATGGTAAGAACAGAAACTTCCTGGGCCTCCTTGGTGGCACAAGGGGTTAAGCACCACACTATGAAGCAATCCACAGCCTCTGCAGCACGAGTTTGATCCCCGGCCAGGGAGCAACCCACATGGCGCAGCAGACCTCTCCTGTCTCGCCAGCTGCTCCCCTCAGCAGTGTAGTTCGGTCAATCTGCCTGTTCTGTTCCCCACTCTGTCTCTGGTGAATCCTCTCACTCCCCATACCTCTGGCCTGTATCCCAGCTCTTGTATGCATAAATAAATAAATCTTTAAAAAAAAAAAACCAGAAAATTCCCATAAACAACATGTCTCTAACCAGTCCTGCCCCCAACTTTCCCCACTATTGACATCTTGTAACACTCTAGTACTTTTTTTACAATCAGTGAATCTACACTAATACATCATTTTCATTCATAGAGCCCACTACTGGTGTTATATATTCCATGTGTTTTGACAAATATATGGTGACATGTATCTGCCACTGAAGTACCATAAAGAATAGTTTATCCTACCCCCCAAATTCTTTGTGTTTTGTGTATTCACTCCCTCTTCCCCCCCAATTAAAACCTGGCAGTTGGTGATCTTCTCACTGTTTCCAAAGTTATGCTTTTTTCAGAATGTCTTATGACTGGAATCATATAGTATATGTTGCCTTTTCAGACTGGCTTCTTTCACTTAGTAATATGCATTTAAGTTTCCTCCATGTCTTATCCTCAATTCTGCTGAATAATATTTCATTGTTTGGACATACCACAGTTTATTTAGCCATTTACCTACTGAATTACTTCTTGGTTGCTTCCAAGTGTGCTTCCAATTTTTAGCAATTATAAATAAAGCTGCTACAAACATCCATGCACATGTCTTTCATAGACACAAGTGTTCAGTTCATCAAGGATCACAGTTGCTAGATTATATGGTAATAATATATTTATTTTTGTAAGAAACTGAAACTGTCTTCTAATGTGGTTGTACCATTTTGCATTCCTGCAGCAATGATTATTTCCATTGCTTCATGCAATTTGCCAGCATTAAGGTTGTGTTTTGGACTTTTGTCATTCTAGTAGGTATGTAGTAGTTATCTTGTTTCAATTTTAAATTTCCCAATGATGCTCATATATGAGAGATATATAGTTATTTATCTCTATGTAGAAAGAACCTAGCTGTGTATCGAAACAAGGAATGGATTTTTTCAAAGGGAAGCTAGCACTTTGACATATCTTTTTTTTTTCTTTTATTGTCATATAACACTGTATGTTTTAGAAGTACAGATTCATATCTCTTCAAATGTACGTTACCATTCCATGACTATCACCAAAGTATCATAGCCCTTTGTGGACTTCTAGTGAGTCCGAACCTGGGACACGACGGTGAAGGAAGTCAGATATGGGGGACTGTCATGTTCAGCATGCAGTAAATCTTTATTGTCTTAGTGCTCATTATATACTATTTTAATTGTAGCAGGTGTAACATTAAAGTATACCACGTAACGATAACATGTATGAATGATTAGTCTATTTTCTTACTATTATCTATTTACTTCAGACAGTAGGGTACCAGGCGGTTAGTTCTCACAAACATAATCTTATCGCCTCCTAGCCAGAGCCTGGGAAGTTCGCTCATTATTTTGTTGTTGTCAAACTGTGGAGATGTATGCAGTTCACTTCCAGGCTCTCAACACCAAGTCCTGTCACCCAGAGATTTTCCTCTGAGACGCATGTGTTTTTACATGCCTTAGGGACTCAGGTTAAGGCCCTTCTGCTCACTGCGCAGGATCTCTCCATTTTGTTATTCTCAGATTGTGGAGATGTAGAAGCCCGACTCCACGCAGGTCACTTTCCAGGCTCTCAACACCAAGTCCTGTCACTCAGAGGTTTTCCTCCGAGACACATGTGTTTTCACATGCCTTAGGGACTCGGTTCAAGGCCCTTCTGCTCACTACGTGGGGTGGCCGCCTCTAACAGCCCTTCACCCTTGTTAACATAGTTTTAAAACAATAGCGTTCAAAGCTATAAATTTTTCTGTGAGCACTTAGCTTCTGTTGTGAGTTATTTTCATTATCTTTGTTTTCTAGCTATTCTTTAGTTTGCATTTAAAAAAAATGTCCAAGTGGTTAATTATTTTTCTTTTCCAATTCACAATTCCAATATTAATTTCTAGTTTTATTGTATTATGATCAGTTAATGTTTTCTGTTTTATCTCTATGTATTAGAGTTTATTGGGATTTCCTAGTGAACAATTTTGTAAATCTAAAAAGGGCACATTAAAAGAAGATGAGCTTTCTTTGACCAGCTTATAGAGTATAAGTCCTTTAAATCTTCTACACAGAGTATGCTGGGGCCTCCCTGGTGGTGCAAGGGGTTAAGCACCACACTATGAAGCAATCTGCAGCCTCTGCAGTATGAGTTCGAGCCCCAGCTGGCCAGGGAGAAACCCACATGGTGCAGCAGACCTCTCCTGTCTCTCCCGCTGCTCCCCTCAGCAGTGTACTTCAATCAATCTGCCTGTTCTGTTCCCCATTCTGTCTCTGGAGGATCCTCTCACCCCCCGACCCCCGGATCTCTGGCCTGTACCCAGCTCTTGTATGCATGAATAAATAAATCTTAAAAAAAAAACAAAAAAAGTATGTTATCCTTTCATTTTGCTGATTTTATTCTTTTAAATTCCTGTCACAAACTGAAAAATGTAAATTAAATTTTATGTGTTTATGTTCTCCCTTGTAATTTCTACAGTTTGATACTGAAATTCATTAAAGATATCACACATACACACAAAAATGATTGATAATTTCTAAATATTAGGAACCAAATTCAGCAACATGTAAAATAACCAAATAGCTTATTCATGACCAAATAGCTTATTCCAGAAATCCACTGAAGAAATCTATTATTATAATTCAATATGTTAATATTTGAAAAGATAAAAAAATAGAAAGAAACATAAAAAATTCTTATTCCAAGTAGTGTGCTGAGTCAAAACACAGACATCCAATGAGGGAAAATTAGTCTTAAAGAATCATTTGACTAGTTATCAAGTACCACAGTGGCACTAATTGCGAGTAACACAAAGGCTGAGTTATTCAGATTTAAAACACTTTTCATAACTGTATTACCAAACTCCCAGTTCCCCATGTACCTGTTTCTTTTAGGAGATTCCAGATGTCTCTGCATTTATGGACCTGCTCAAGTGCACGACTCAGTAACCTGGTCTTATTGGTAACAATACAAACAGAAAATTAGTCTCAACTAAAGAAAAGTGTAAACAAGTTAAAGTAATTTCATATTGTAGTCATTAAAAACAGTTGAAAATAAAATGATAGAAAAAGAATAAATGGAATGTTTTGGAATTTATTTGGAAATATTAACTTCTATTTGTATTTTTCCTTGATGTTACAGGAAAATGAAGATGAAATATAAAAGCTTGAGCATGATCAATTTCTTTAATAATCTAGGACAGAAGAGAAGCACTTTCAGAACAGTAGTATGGGAATTCCATCAGCCTTCCCCCAGCAAAACAATTATAACTGGTGAAAAGTATAAAACACAATTATGTAAAGTCTCCAGAAATTGCCCTAAGGGCATACAGCAAATGGGAAAACATCTATTTCAATAAATCTACTAAGTTTCAGTAAGAACAGTGGCAGATGAAACATAATCTGTTTACCAACCATCCCTGCTTAATGCACCTTTAGGTGGGTGTGACTGGGAAGATGAGGCTCCCTCTCTCCTCAGCTTCTAGGCTAGGGATTCCCTGAAGGGGCATGCTGCCAGCACTTCTCATCCCCTACCCCAGGTCTGTACTGGAGAACAAGCACAACTGAGTCTTGGAGCACTCTTCCTCTACCCAGTTTGCATTTGTAGGGCAAAAGTTCTACATCAGGCATATTAGCAAGTCAATAATATTGGGTCCCAATTGCCCTCACCTCAGTTTGCTTACAGCATAGAGCTTCCATGTTAGGAGAGGCAAGTGAAGAATTTCAGGGATGACAAATTCTACTCACCCCTCACTGATAGAACTGGATTGTCACTATGATTGAAATGGGCCAGTACCTACACCTCTAGCTCCAAAACAGTGGTACATAGTTTCTGTCCAGGAGAAGAGGTAGGTCATTAGAAGAGTGAGCTCTATAGCTCTTCCTAAAGGGAATGACTTTAATTAGAATAGAGTTTGGGGAAGTTCAAATCTAAGGATATTATAAAAAAGCAGAGATTTTTTTTTGTATTGAGTAGTTATGAAGAGGCTGATAGGTCAATGATACCAACCAGCAAATAGAACACTAGCTAGATGTTTACATGGAGAACCAGGGAAAGAGAAAGCTAAGATGGCCCTTATGTTTTCAAAATACAGCCTTATATTAATTATATAAGACTGTGGAGCAATTTATGCCAAAGAGAATTTTCAAACACACACACACACAGAGCAATCACCTAGTAAATAGTCAAGACTAATTAATATCTGGGTGTGATACCAATAGAAGATGAACATTCAGAAGTTTGATGAGGATATTAGGGAAACTAATAATTAAAAAACAACCCCGCTATACCCACTGTCATCTCTTTGTGGGGGAGAGATCAAAGTGACTGCATAGGAAAAGACTGAGCTCTGAGGTATGGGGAATAGTCTTCATTGAGCTAGACAAGTCAAGTCACTAAGTAGGTACACAAGAAAATATTAAGAACTAGAAAGGGAAATCAGTATCTAAAGATGCCCCAATATATTATTTAAAATATCCAATTTTAGATTGATGAGATATGGAAAGAAAGAGGATAGTATAACCATACACAGGAGAAAAGCAGGCAACAGGAACTGACTTTGAAAAGGTCCAGTAGACACACATTTCAAAGAAGCTATTTTAAAGATGTTCAAACAACTAAAGAATACCACATTAAAGAAGAAAGGCAAGATGACAATGTCTCATAAAATATAGAATCTCAGTAAGGAGACAGGTATTATTAAAAAAAAAAAGCACCAAATGGAAACTCTGGAATTTAAAAGTATAAAAGCATCAAAAGGACAGGAGAGGGCCTCCCTGGTGGTGCAATGGGTTAAGATGCAACCTATGAAGCTGTCTGCAGCCTCTGCAGCATGAGTTCGATCCCTGGCTGGCCAGGGAGCTACCCACATGGTGCAGCAGACCTCTCCTGTCTCGCCCACTGCTCCCCTCAGCAGTGTACTTCGGTCAATCTGCCTGTTCTGTTTCCCACTCTGTCTCTGGTGAATCCTCTCACCCCCCCCCACACCTCTGGCCTGTACCCAGTTCTTGTATGCATAAATAAATCTTTTTTTTTTTTTTAAAAAAAGGGCAGGAGAGAGAAGGAGCTAAATTTTGTTTTTTTGAAAATTCCCAAATTTGATGAAAACATTCATATGCACATCTAGAAATTCAATGAAATTCAAGTATGTAAATGCAAAGGGATCCACCCTAGACTCAATACAGTCAAAACAGTGAAAGTAAAAATTTGAAAGTAGAAAGAGAAAAACCATTCATCATATATAAGGGAACCTCATTAACAACTTACTGAAAATAACGGAGGCCAGAAGGCAATGGGATAGCATATTCAATGTGATGAAAGAAAGTAACAGTCAACAAAGAAGCTAATATCCAGCAAAAGCATCTTTTAGAACTGAAAATGAAATAAATTACTGGATTATAAAAGCAACAGCTGAATTTGTTGCTAGAGCTTGAACATCATGCTAGAAGAATCAAATGAAGGAGCATCAAAATATGTAAGACAGGGGCCTCCTAGGTGGTGCAGAGGTTAAGATGCAACCTATGAAGCCCACAGCCTCTGCAGCACGAGTTCGATCCCCCGGTGGACCAGGGAGCAACCCACAAGGCATAGCAGACCTTTCCTGACTCACCTGCTGCCCCCCTCAGCAGTGCACTTTGGTCAGTCTGCCTGTTCTGTTCCACAGTCTGTCTCTGGTGAATCCTCTCACCCTCCCACACCTCTGGCCTATACCCCAGCTCTTGTACGCATAAGTAAATAAATCTTAAAAAAATATATAGGACAGGGGCCTCCCTGGTGGTGCAAGGGGTTAAGCACCGCACTATGAAGCAATCTGCAGCCTCTGCACCATCAGTTCGATCCCTGGCGGGCCAGGGAGCAACCCACATGGCGCAGCAGACCTCTCCTGACTTGCCCACTGCTCCCCTCAGCAGTGTACTTCGGTCAATCTGCCTGTTCTGTTCCCCACTCTGTCTCTGGTGAATCCTCTCACCCCCCCACATCTCTGGCCTATACCCCAGCTCTTGTATGCATAAATAAATAAATATTTAAAACATATATATATATATATATATATATATATATATATATATATATGTAGGACAGCTATTATCAAATCTGAAAACAAATATTGGCAGCAACACAATAGCAGTGAGGGACTTCAACACCACAATTTCATAAATGGACAGAAAAAGGGGAGATGTACATAATCAAGAGATGAAACTTTTAAAACTATTGATGAAAAATATAACTCTCCTGGACAGTAGGATGTTTGCATCTGCTTTATTTGTACAGCAGATAAGCAGATTACACATTACAATCAGGAGGATTTTTTTTGGATTTATTTATTTATTTATACAAGCCCTGGGTACAGTCAGAAGCGCGGGAGGGTGAGAGAATTCACTGGAGCCAGAGCAGAAGGATCGAAGTACACTGCTGAGGGGAGCAGAGGGCAGCAGGAGAAGACTGCACGCTGTGTGGGACCCTCGCCTGGTGGCCGGGCAGCTTCGCAACCCAGTGCTCAACTGCTGCGCCACCGGGGAGGCCCAGGAGGATGTTTGCTGAAATTGGATAAATGGATAAAATGGTCTTATACCCAAGTCTTTTATCTGTTTTGAATTTATTTTTGTGTATGTTGTGAAGATAGTGGTCTGATTTCATTCTTTTGCATATAGCTATCCAGTTTTGACAATGCCAGTTATTGAACAAGCCATCCTTGTTCCAGGGTATGTTTTGGTCCCTTTGTAATAGATTAATTGTCCACATAGATATGGTTTTATTCCTGGGTCTCAATTCTATCCCATTGCTCTGAGTGTCTACTTTTGCTGGTTCAATTATTATGGCTTTATAATAGAGTTTGGAGTCTGGAAGTGTGATACCTCCATTTTCTTTTTTTTTTTTTTTTGTCAAGATTGCTATGGCTATTTGGGATCATCTGTGATTCCATATGAATTTCAGTAGTGTTTGTCATGGTTATTTGAAAAATGGTACTGATATTTTTATTGGTATTGAATTGAATCTGTATATTTAACAATGTTGATTCTTCTAATCCGTGAGTGGGAAATATTTTTCCATTTCACTGTTTCTTTGATTTCTTTTAACAATGTCTTATACTTTCCTTTGTATGGATCTTTTACCTCCATTGTTAGATTTACTCCTAAGCATTTAATATTTTTGGTGTGATTGTAAATGGGATTGCTTTCTTAATTGCTTCCTCTTCCTATTCCTTGTATTTAGAAGGCAACTGAATTTTGTGTATTTCTTTTATACCTTGCCACTATGCTAAACTGATTGTTTTTATTAGTTTTTCCATGGAGTCTTGAGAGGTCTCTATGTATATTATGTCATCTGCAAATAATGGTGGTTTCGTTCTTTACCTATTTGGATTTATTTTATGTCTTTCTCTCACCTAATTGTTCTAGCTAGGACTTCCAACACCATATTGGATAGTAGTGGTGACAGGGAACAACTTTTTATTATACCAGATATTAGTGGAAAAACTTTCAGTTTTCAGAGAATGATATTAGCTGTGGGTTTGTTGTAAATGACGTTTATTATGTTAAGGTTATTTGTTTACCCAAGTTTTTCAAGGGTTTTCATCATAAATGAATGTTGAATCTTATCAAATGCTTTCTCAACATCTATTGATTTGGTCATGCACTTTTTATTTTTTTGTTGATGTGATGAATATGTTGTTTGATTCTCTGATGCTGAGCTACTCTCGTGTCCCTGGTAGGAATCCCACTTGGTTATGGTGTATGATCCTTTTAATCTATTGTTGAAAGATTTGCTTTGCTAGTATGTTATTGAGGATTTCTGCGTCTGTGTTCATTAAGGAATCTGGTCTGTAATTTTCTTTTTTGTGTGTTGTCTTACTGGGTTTTCATATTAGAGTGATTTTGTCTCATAAAATGTTTGGAAATGTTCCCTCTTTTTCAATTTTTTGGAAGAGTTTGAGAGGCCATTTTTTAATTTATCC